GAGTACAGGAGTACATACGCAGTCATTGTTACACATTATTGACTTTATAAGTAGGCCGTTCCGAAATTTTTTTTTTTTTTTAAATTTATTTAAAAAAATTTACAATAAAATATTTCATCATGTCTGTTATTAGAGAAGATTTAATTTATACTGCACTTAATAAAGCATATGCACTAACGGATTATAATATTCACAATGATATACACAAACAAACTGAATTTCAAAGACAAACAATTCTTGCTGATGAATCACTTACAAAAGATGAAAAATCCGAAGCAATAAGAATGTTGACTGCAAATTATGATAAAGACAAACTTATTTATAATGAAGGAACAAGAAGAGTTTGTGAAAATTGTAACCAAAAATGTTTAGCTACATTATATTGTGAATATTGTGTTCGAAATTATTTAAAAAATAATTTTTCAAATTGGACATCTGGAAATGATGTTATTGATAATTTAATACAAGAATGTCAGATGAAAACACTTGAACCAGATAGTATAGTTGAATGGATTCCATATAATAATTTAAAAAATATTAAATATTTAACAAAAGGTGGATATTCTGAAATTTATACAGCAGAATGGACTGATGGATATTTTATTGAATGGGATTCTAATGAACAACAATTAAAAAGATTTGGAGAGCAGTGTGTAGTACTTAAAAGATTAGAAAATCTTGAAAGTGCAAATAAACGTTGGTTTGAAGAGGTTTGTAATCTAAAAATGGTATAGTAATTTTTCATTTAAAATTTTTTATAATATATTCTTTATTTTATAGGCTAATTCGCATTTAAATATAAGTAAAAAATGGTCAGATGCGATTGTCCAATGTTTTGGTTTAACAAAAGATCCATTAAATGGAGATTATATGCTTGTAATGAATAAATTAGATACAGATTTAAGAAAATATTTACAACAAAATCATAATCAACTTACATGGAAGGAAAGAATTCAAATTGTAGTTGATATAACTCGGTCACTTTTACGAGTTCATAATGAGAATGTAATTCATAGAGATTTGCATTCCGGAAATATATTATTCCATTTTTGTAGTGGAAAATTTAATATTAGTGATCTTGGATTTTGTGGACCTGCAGATAAACCATTAAAGAGTGTATATGGAAATCTTCCTTACATTGCACCGGAAGTTATTTCAGGAAAAGTAACTACTTTTAAATCTGACATTTATAGTATTGGCATACTTATGTGGGAAATTTCATCTGAACAACCACCATTTATTAATTTCGAACATAATTATGATCTTGCTATGAATATTGTTAATGGTATAAGACCAAAAATTGTATCAGGAACTCCTTTAGAATATAAAAATTTAATGAAACAATGTTGGGATGCTGATCCATCAAAGCGACCTTATATCGGCACACTTATTGAAGAGATAAATAAACTTAATTTATATTATCAAAATAAACCAAATGAATTATTAACTAAACTGGAAGAAGATAATAGTTTGGAAATAGGTGATTTAGAAAACTATACAAATAGTAGCAGATTATTTACGAGTAAAGTTCATCAATTTGAAAATTTTCCTGAACCAAGAAATGCAACAGGAGGTATTATTGAAATTTTTTATTTGGTTTTTAATATATGGTCGATATTAATAATTAAAATCTTACCTTTTTAATTAAATAATAATGCAGAAGAACAAGAAGGTATAAATTAAACATTACAATTTTATATATATTTTTATATTAAATAATTAAATAATAAATTATTTTCTTTTATTAGCATTTCACAGTAATAAATCATACAACTTTCATATTCCCAATAACAGTACGTATATTATATTTAAGTTGAGTTTAATATAATAAAGTACTTTATTTGATTTATTTTTATCTATTAGTTGATGATTTTGATAAGTTGAATAATCAGAAGAATAGTTCAAAAATAATTAGCATTTTTAAAGGTAATTTATAAAACATATTTAATACTATTTCCTTTAGATAATCAAATCAATTAATATTTATATTTTAAACTTTTTAGTTGGTAGTAAAAAATTATCCAAAATATTCAAAAGGAATTCAAAAAATGGCAAGTAGAATGATGATTAATATTATCAAATTTAATTGTTTAATATTGAACATAACGTTATTTAATTTTTAGATATTCAAGAAACAATGCAACAACAAATAAAAAAATATCATGATGATATTGACGGTATGTGATATAATTATTTAAACTGATTATAATAATTATAATAATTTCAATTAATTTAATACTTTCTAAATAATTATTTTTATTTGTAGATGACGAAATACATAATAATCCAAATCTTCATTCGGAAGAACAAGACGAATTGGAACTTCCGGATAGTAAGGATTCTTTATTTTTAAATTTGAATTTTAATTAATTTCAAAAATCACTACTAAAGTCTTTTTTTAATAAATTTTAGATATAGATAAGTAATCATAAAAATGCTATCTTCTATGTAATACTATTATTACACATGAAGTATTTTTATATAAATTATTTAAACACTAGGACTAGAGTAGTAAGATTAAATATTTCTTAGTTTGTAATTTAAATAATTTATTTTTTTATTTATTTTTTGTTTTTATATTATAACTTATCAATAAATTACTTTATAAAATTATTCAATTATATATTATGATTGAAATTTAAGATAATTTCACTAAAAAGAATTGACATAATGAGCCTTTAATATTATTTGAGAAATATGTCCAAATAGCATATAATGTATATCATCAAGTCGTGAAAATCACTGAAATTTTTATGAATTATGAAATCATATTGCAGTATTATCTATGAAAAATATCAATTAACAATTTGGTATCGATTTACCGATCTAAACCTTTCCACTTTTAAAAAGCAATTTTAATGGCTCAATTAAAAGCTTTCATTCTAATAAACACTGTATTATAATATATTTTTTTGGTAATTTCTAATAAAATTTGGAGTTTGAAATTTTTTTTTTATAATTCACACTTTAATTTCGATATTGTATTAAAATTTTATGAGTGATATAATGAATAAGCTATAGCAATTTTCTTAACCGTCTGTATTTTTGTTTATTTATCATTAGCTTCAAAATAGCGTTCAAAATCATATTTTCTTTTTTGTTGCTTCATTAAAGATTATTATTAAAAAATTGGTAATAGCGTGTTAAGAAACAGAAGGCCGCTGGCGAGCTTGCTTTTGTAATGGTTTATAAATTAACATACAATGCAAAGTATTATTATATACAGTACATACATGTAAATCATGTAAATAAATAAAAAATAAAAAATAAAAAAAAATGAACAAAATAAATAAAATAAATTAATTTATTGGACCAATAAAATTCTTGAGCAGAAAAATCATCTAGTAATTATTGCAAGTAGGAACTTATGAATTTGTTTATTTTTCCACTGATATCCTTTTGTTTTTTGTTTATAATATTAACTTTTCTTTTATAACTGGAAGTTGAAAGAAAATCTATTTCAGTTCCTTATATTGAATTTTTTAAAATATTATATTTTTTTGAATTTTTCCTATACAATAATTTAAATTGTAGATAAATCTTAAACCAATTCATAGTTTATTCAAATGTTGGATTCTTGTTGAGTTATTAAAGAGAAACATAAATGTTTCATAAACTAGTCCTCAACATAAATATAATTCCAGAATTTGAAAAGGAAAGTGAAAATAAAACAAAATCTGCGATTGAAATCACTATGATAACCACTGTTTGATTTTGCAAATACAATATTAGGGTATTATTATGTTTAGGATTTATTATAATGCAATCTGATTTATTCTAACAAAAATGTATAATATGTATCCTTCAAGTTACATTAATACATTATGGATTATTGATTATTATATTGTAAATTCACAGATGATTCATTCGTATCATCCCTTTAACGTAGGTTCACTTACATGTAATGAAAATATAAGATCTTTTGGTATGAAAGCCATCTGATTTACTTAATCTTCCATCAGCTTGTTCCCAAAGAACATTCTAACATTATTTACAGTTATATTAAATCTCGTTTCATTACTATTGATTTCTTATCTTCGCTCCATGCGGAAATGGCAAAATTGTGGGACGACTCATCCCCAAAAAATGGAAAAAGCTCCACTATATCACGACACGACAGAAATCCAATCACTACAAGCAATCCTCTTGTTAAAGTAAACGCAAACAGTGTAATAGTGATAATAAGGTCGCCTCCCACAACATTACCTAACAAGAACTACCGTATCCAACATCATCACGCAGGACGAACCTGAGTTCTCTTCGATGTTCAACTTGTCATCAATACCATTTTATACCCCTTTGGATGGTGAATGGTGTCTAAATCTGGATGCTAAAATTCTGGTGGTATGCTGCAGTAAGTTTTGTTTATTCTATTGTTATTAAATTATTTTTATTTTAAAAATAAAAATTTTTTTAAGCTCGATCAATGGAGAATTTGAAGTGATCAGCCAGATTGACTTGCTACGGTAAAATTGCTTTTAATATTATTATTAATTATTAAAATAAATTGATACTTTCTATTATTATTAATAATAAAAAAAATACATTAACAATTAAATTAAAATTATTATTTAAATATATTAATTAGTTGTTATTAATTATTTGTTATTAATTATTTGCAAATTATTTATTAATAAAGTTCGAATCAAATGTGTGAGGTCGGCAATTTGTTAATCATCACATAAAATTGAACCAATCAATGGATTTTTATCCATGCTTGAATTTTTATTAAATGAGAGATATTTCCGTACTTGATGTTTCACTTGTCATTCATTATCAATTGTAGAAGGGTAGGTTACTGTTTCACTTGTATTTAAGAGGCTTACTTGTGTTTTGTTGGTATTAGCATTATTAAGAGTATGGATTAAAATAATGTTATAATTAACTTTAGTCTCCCCGGATGACAATAAATACTACGGAAAAGTAATCTAATATCTTTATTATATAATTGGGAAGATAAAGTGTGAATTTATAAAGTTATTGACAATTTTATTTACACTATAAACTGTTGGCTGATTAATTGATCAAAATTAGTTTCATTTTCTAGTAAACTAACTAGTTTAGGCTAAACAATATCAGTTTAACTTATACTTAGGTTAAACTGGTCCGGATCAAACTACTTAACATCCCTAATTAAGAATGATGATCTAGTTTTAATCCATGATCCCAAATGGTATTGAAAAAACTGCTATTAAATTTTTGTAAAGGGTCCAAAAGTATATTGGAAGAATGTAACATTTTGTCCATTAAAAGTATATACAATTCCAGTCGTAACTAAATTTTTTCCAGATAGGAAGATGGTTGTAGTCTTTAAGGAACTTTGTATTGAATCAAAAAAAAATTCGGGATCATCGATTAAGAGCTTGTAAGAATGGACTTTCGAAATGAGGATGCATCAGTACTTAAAATACATACGGGTTTGCATTGTCGGAATCAAAAAAAGAGCATAATGAACGCAAAAGAATAAATAAAATAGTTAATGATTAAGGTAATCAGAAAGAAAATTCTCCAGAAGGTATCAGGGTTTCAATTTAACACCCATATGAAAGTGGAAGCGTACACTATGAGGTACCAGGGCGCTATTTATGTGCTTAAGATTTAAAAATTCCCTTTTTTGTGCAATATGACGTAGTTTCAAAAACTTAATTTGACAATAATAAATAACGAACTACAATAACAACAACATTTATTAAGTTATTTAGCTTTTCCTTTTAAATAGGGAAAATGTAATTGGCGCCCAATATAATTAGCTAATAAAAATTAGTTAAATGTATCACTATCGCGTGTTTTAAATACTGAAAACATAAATAATCATTCTATTTCTTAGACGTGATTTATTCGTTATTTTATATTTCAATATTTATACAGCCGTATATACGTAAATATTCAGAAAAAATGGGTAATTGAGGAAAAGAAAAATATTTTATTGTTTGAAAAAGAAAAAGTTTATTACATTAAGAAAGAAAATTTTTTAAAAGATAAACTACAATATCCGTTGGTTTGTTGGTTTGAAATTGAGTATGATACATATCGGAAGGGAATATAAAAACCACGATTTGATATTGTATCACCATAGCCAAAAATTAACGACCTTTTATGAATAATAGATAAATGGTTTACAATGTATTTGCTGGGATAAGTTTTTAGAAAAATCTATGTTTTTTAGCAAAACTGGGAAATTAATAAAAATATATTTTAACTGTTGAAAAAAAAAATAATTTTTAAGTTTACTGAAACAGAATTATAGAGTATAGATAGATTGCAGTTAAAATGAGTAAAGCTATAAGAAAATATTTTGCAAATCATGTATCAACATAAACAAAAACAAATGTACTGTAAAAATAACTAGTATTATCATATAGAGAAAGTTATAGTAAATTCTCCAATTTATTAAATTTTAAGAATATTAATTTATGATTAAAGTAATAACTTGAAATTTTCATATATTCTGTAAATGCACAGTAAAAATTGTGCGTCAAATTATTAAATATTTGTGTTATATTGTCAAATTTTATTTAATATTGTTAGTTATTTGTAGCTTACACCTTTACAATGCGCAAACTGGTAAGCAATACAGTAATATAATTTTGGTAAATAATGTCACTTATTTAGTGAATCTATAGTTACATTAAATTTAAATATATTTCTAAAACATAATAAATGATAAAGTTAATTTAAATATAAATTAAACAAATAAAATTAAAGTAAATTATTTGAGCATTAATCATCTTTTTTTTATTTGAAATACTTCATATTCTTCTATTGAAAACTTATCTTCCGTATCTCTTATCTTTTTTTCATAGTATTTTTGTCTACACCGAAAATAATCATATTCTTTTGAACCATCATTACCTTTACAAATATTTAGATCATAACCAAACGTAGGTCCATCATTACTGCCATAATACACTGCACCATTCATATCTATTATATTACTTAAAATCAGATCTTTAAAATTATTTTTATTCTTAAAAGAAAATATGAAACTATCTTTGGTTTTAGCGAATGTACCACTCGATTTCCATACTAAAGGATTATATCCCCCAATAATTTCTTCTGTTCCTTTCACTTTAATAAATGTTACAGTATAAAGTTTATCATCACATAATTCATGAAACTTTTCAGGAGTGAATCCATCTCGGCTTCCTCTTAAGAGTAATTTAAATTTATATGGTAAATATAATTCTCTTGCATAAGCGTATTTGCTTTTAATATCAATTTTATCAATCCATCTAGAAATTAGAGAGGCAATATTTAAATTGACTATTTTCGAATCAATAATTCCATCAATATTTCTAAATCGAGGAAGTAAAATATTATCATTTGGTTCACTATTAGGATTTAAATATGATTCTAATAACTTTTCATAAAATTGAAATTTTAAAAGTTTTTTATAAGGTCGAACTTTTTGAAAGAAATCTTCCGAAGATAAACTAAAAAATCTAATTAAAGGTAAACAATGTTGTAAAGTATTTTCCATCATTCTGAAATCATCATCTGACCAAGTAATAGGATCTGGAAGAAGTGTAGGATTTTTTTCAAGACCCCATTTTAATACATGATCCCAAATTTCAATTTCTTTCATTTGTAAATCATCTCTTTTAATAAGTAAAACTAACGATTTTTCTGAGAGTGAAGTAAAATCAAGTGATCCAAATATTTTTTCAGGAAATTTAGCCATGAAATTTGTACAATATTGTTGAAGTTCTAATAAAGAATTAGATTGAAAACCTGTTTGGTAAATAAGTTCAAAATATTGTTCCATCCATTCAGATTTATTTTCAATTAAATACGTTTGCAAATAATCAATTAGCTCTTGAAGCAGTAGATTATCAGCAGCGACTAAAACTTTTAAAATCTCCGAAGGGTCTTGTTCATTTAATGAAATGATACCGCCATAAATATATCTATATTATAAAAAAATTATACGATAAATAAAAATATTAAGATACCGTCAAAGTTCATAATATAACTCACTTTAAAATAATCTGAAAAATTTCTGGTGAGATATTTGGCAACTTAATGTGAGCTACGGTATTATTATTATTATTTCTACTTGAAATCAAAGTTCGTCGTAAAAATGGAGAACGGTAACACAGGATGATCATGTGTGCACGGAATATTTTTACATTTGGGTCTTCACCAACTTCAATAGTAATATCATAATATTCATCATCTTCCAAAATTTCAATATAGTTTCGACTTAAATTTGGAAAAAATTGCTTGGACATATTGTTCCTGTCAAATTTGCAATGTGAAAGAGTAAGAGTAAAAAAAAATTTTTTTTTAAAAAATAAAGTTTGTGAATCCGTTATATGTTGGACGACCAGCTGACAAATTCCGTACAACTTACCATTTTAATATTTTGTCCTCCCATAAGTATGCAAAGCAATCGAAGTATTAATTGAAATTTTATTTATTCTAATTTTGATTCTTCAAAGACGATTAAAAAAACCTTAATATTAGGTTTATGTCAAATCTTTTTTTTTTTTTTTTGAATTATCATATTCAAATTTGTAACATTAATTAAAATCAATATTGTTATATCAAAAATTCCTTAAATTAAACTAATTAATTCATGATTTTGTTTATACTATCCTGTTGATAATTTTATTTATTTACAAACAATATCTACTACAAAAACTGGCAATAATATGATTTTAAATCGTTTAAACAATTTAGTAGATTTAATAATATTACATTTCAAGGAAAGAATAAATAATTGAGCCTTTTTTAAAAATGTATGAATCGTATATCTTCCTTATATAGTTATATAGTCGATTTTAATTACTTAAATTCAAAAAGTTAAAAAGTTTGTAATTGCGAGTAAAATTAAAATATTCCAGAAATCTGCTTCACCCATGGCTGACTGGAAAAATTCTGGAATCATAAAATTTTATAGATTAACACTTTGTTAGCTCTTTTCAATATAAAGTGTATGAATACTTCAACCATAATTTCACCAAATAGGATATACTTTTTTTTGAAAATATAATGATATAAAGTCATTTGAAAGTATGATTACAGTAACAAGAACTTAGAAAGAAATAATACTATTACTCGTAGATAATTATAGAATGGTACGCTCTTTTAATAATAATTATTGCAAATGACGTAATGGAGGCTTTTAGGATTATTGTTAAAGGTTTCTGGCTGAGTCAACTAGTGCTAGGACTTCTAGGTTCAACCATAACAAACCAATGAATGAATTGAACGCGCTATAACAACATTGATAGTGTAGTTTCTAAAGGTAGTCCGGTTCAATGCATTTTTCGTTCACATACAAAATAAACCATTCAATTGGTAGAACATGTTGAAAAACCTAAAAATTTTATGGGTCAAAAGGTCGCATATTTCATATATTACACAAAAAACAGGTAAATCAAATAAACAAACCCGACCGAAAAATGCAACCGGTATCCCACTATTGCGAAAAAAAAAATAATAATTCTTGAGTTATCCTACTATCATGAAAAAAAAAATACAACTAAAAATTTATTGTGTATAACATTTGACTCAATGTACATATTTATTTACGTTACTTTACATTAATAAGAATGTAAGTTTTAAACCGTATTTAGTTATAACTATACTATAACTAAATTTATAAAATATATTACTTAAATAAATGTTTAACCGAAAATATATATATATAAGAAAAACAGGCAAAAAAAAAACTAATACTGACTAAATATATTTTCCAATTTATAAAATTTTTAAACTATTAAAGTATAAGTCGGGGTTCTTTTTTGGATCCATTCAAAATCTTCAAAATCAATACCACCAATTTCGTATCTTTTAATTACACCATATGTTCTATATCTTCGTAATAATGCTTCTAATCTTTGCCGTGGCTCTTGTTGATGATGTTGCCATGGAATTCTACAACTTGCAAATCCTCTTAATCCTGTTATACTTATTTGTAATAACATAGAAGGTCTATCCTTCCAAGTATCAAGAAATGATTTTAAAGATTCCAATTTATGTTCCCAAATAAAATATTCAGCAGAAAATTTAAATTTAAACAAACTAATTGGTGAAAGTTTTGCTAATACATCAAATAATTCTTTCCATTCAACAGAAACATCAACAATTTCTATTCCAATTAAAAATTGACAACTCTTTAACAAATTTTGAAATTCTGAAATATCACTATTATATAATGATAATTTAAGATAATTAAGTTTAGGACAATTTTGATAAATTTTCTGAATAAGTTTTCCATCATCTTCAGTTTGATGAAGAATAGTGATTTCAATAAGATAACCTTTCGTATTTTCAATAATATTTGTTAAAATATTTGATGAAATACTTTTTGCTTTTAAAAATTTTAAATGTGGTAAAGATACTTTTTCCAAATGATTCTCATTTATTTTAAAAAAACAAACAACAGAATTCATTATTTCTAAACTAACTAAATTTACGAGATATGAAAGGAATTTAGTGACAGGATTCCAATTTATTTTTAAATGTTGAACAGTATCAGCACATTTGATTAATAATTCTTCAAGAGATTGACGATATATTTCATTTCCTTTTGTTGAGGTAAGATTGATTTCTTTCAAATTTTTTTGAACTTCAACAAATTTAACGATTCCATGATTAATGGTACTGTTACACTCAAAAGTCAATTTTTTAATTGACTTATTTACTATAGCCAATCTTTCTAAAATTTTACTATCAATATTATTATCACAATGAAAATTTTCAAGTTTTGAAAAACAATTTTCAGATCCTGAAATATGAAAAAAATTCATTTTTGGAATAGAAAGGGAAATAAATTTTGTATCATTATTAATAAATAATTTCAATACTTCATTACCTACAATAAATCTATTAGATATTTCAATTCTTGTTACATTTTTACTTATCATATATTTTAAGAAATATAAATTTAAATGTTTCCAAAAACTAATATAATTAAATAAAGGTCGTCGAAATTCAAATTCTTCCATAAAAAGATCAATTCCTTGATTTTTCACATTATTTCTTGATTCTTCAGATAAATGTGAAAGTATCACATTAAATAGAATTTTTAATGATTCATCGGCTGGTAAAAATTGTTTAGAAGGATTCTTCCATAAAATTGGTACTGTTGCTTCACACCAGGTTTTATTGACTAAAAGACATGAAAATAATGATTTGACATCATCTTGAAATTCTTCTAATATTAGTAAAATTATGTCATTGCATAGTTGTAACATTTTTTTTTTTACTGAATTTTTTTTCCAAAGGGAAATAATTTATAACCTTTATTTGTATTTGTAGGACGACGGTTGGCGTAAAATATGTAACTAAACAAATCAATATTTTTTTGACGATCATTTTAAAATTTTTTTTTTTTTTTGCGCCGATATTTAATTGATGAATGTGATCACGTGATATATATTCGGAAATTATTATTTTCAAAAGCGCTAAAAATTTTGCAAAAATCCCAAATCACAAATCTCATAATCATAGATCAATAGAATTACTCCATTTGAAAATGGAAAGTTAGAAATCCGTTAAGAATACGAACATGTATTCTTGCTCTTACTACTCGTGATCAGATGACATCATCGAATCTCTCACAATTACGTGTTAAATTATTATAGGTTGCAGTATATGCTATTCTAATTACATTTCTTGAATTAAATTCACTGCTTCCCGATTTTTATTATATCTATTACATCTGTTTCTATACAGTTATACCGTCATGCGTCTCTCATAATTGTTTTTGGATCATTATTATGCCAATGATGAAAATTTTCAATGTCAAAAAATTTGTATTAACGTAACTAATTTATACATTAATTAATCAAATCTTTTTTTTTAACATATTCTGTGCGTAAAAAAGTTAATAGGAATGTTAAAAGTGTTAATTAAATACGTATTGTACGCAAAAATTCTCTAATTTATTAAATTTTATAAATATCGTAAGTAATACAAAGTATAAAAAAAACAATATATACAAATAATTACGTCATCATTATTCAAGTATAAATATCAGTACCCACTTGGCTTATCCTCTTTAGGTGTCGTACAGTATAATCTGTAAATGTAATAAAAAATTGATTATAAATTGTCAAAAATATTAAATGTGTAAACTGTCATGCAATACAGCAATATGATATTTGGTAGACTAGAATAAAATGTTTGTTTCATATTTCGTTTACATTCATTAATTCAATTTAAATTTTTTTTTTTCTAAAATATAATAAATAATAAAAATAAGCTATTGCCTAATTGCAAATTTTTTTCAAATAGTAAAAAAGTTAAGTTATTACAAATTATGTAATTTGAAATATTCAGAAATGTCTCATGTTGTTCTTGCCTAAAAAACTATTTACAACGTTCATTAACGGAATATATAACAGAAATTCCTTTAACATTATTATTGATGGCTCAACCAGCATAAGGAAACATATATTATCTATTAACGAAAAATAAAATTTTAATTAAATATTTATAATGAAGTACTTTTATTACTTTATTTACGTGCAACTATGCCTGGTTCCCTCGATTTTCTATTTAAGGTGAAAGAAATAAAATTTCGTTACTTGCACTTTCACTTTAACACTTGAGTTTAATAACTGTAAAGTTATTACTAAGGGAAAGCTGAGATGAATTAAGACCTAAAAAGTTTCATGAACTATGTAACATTAAATGCAGACATGATAATAAACACCCAAATGTTTACGTTAAACAAAAAAAAATGTATTGTCTTTTGACAATTACAACTTATTAGGACTTATAATCGTTTGATAATGATTTTAAGTGAACGTTATTCTTATTATACCGAATTGAAAAGTATAAATAATATTTCAATATTCTATTTTAATCTGTAATTTTTATTTATGAAACTTACCTTCTGTATCTCTACTACCTCGTGATCGGCCGCAGCAGATCGCCAAAGCTATACTTTTTTTTACTTTTTTAAATACCGTTATAGGCTTATTTTTTTCGGTTCTTTTTTTTCCGAGCCGAAAAAATTTTTTTAATTAGTTTTTTTTGTTTTCTTTCGGTTCAAACTGGAAAAATTGTTATTTTCAATTTTTTTTCAAACTAAAATTTTTTTTAATTAGTTTTTGTTAAAAATTTAGTTCAGACTTTAAATAAATAACTATTTTTATCGTTCTTTTTATATTTAAGTAAATTACTTGAGAATTTTTTAATTCGTTCAAAATCTTTTTACATATTATATTTGATCATTTGACCAAAATTTTTTTGAAAAAATATAATTAAAAAACGAAATAGTTAACGAAAAATATGACACACAGTTTGTTATCATAAAACATATTTTTATTAGAAAAATATCTTATAAAAAGAGATTGAAAATAACATTCTTAAGGGAAATTGAAAATATAGAAAAAAGTGAAAAAGGATATAACAAAAAAAAAAAAAAAAATTAGAAGAATCAAATTCTTCGAAATCACTAAATGAGACATTTTAGCGAAATCTGGAATAATAAATTAAAAAAAAAAAATACCAAAAAAAAGATAATAATAGTGAATGATATTCGAAATGTTGTTAAATAAAATGGTTCACAAAATAGAGAAATGAAAATTTTTATTTTATTTAATAATTATATTAAAATGTGATAAAAAATTTTTAAGTGATTCATATAGTTATAGGTATTTAAATTATCGATACTATTTTTTAAATTATATACTTTATTAGATAATTGCATATTCATTACAAAATGTTAATAAAGAAAATAAACCATTATTATATATAATTGATATGCAAATTTTATAACAAATTTTAGAACTTTAGTCATTTTTTTATAAGTAAATATCATAAAAAATCATTTATTTTTCAGAACCTTGGGAAAAAAAATAATACATCTAGAAAAGTAACGAAATAAAAATGGGGATATTTTTGTAGACATATAGTATAATAGCTCAAAAAAGAAGGATGAATATAATTGTGAAAGCACAGTATCTAAAAATAACGTTAAAATAGGATTTGAAGCATAGATTAATATATCAGAAATATATTAGTCATACAGAAATAATCACATGATATATTATGTATAATAATGGCTTATCCCGTTATCCTACTGCTGTTTTTATAATAAAGAAAAAACATATAGTCGCTATTTATTTTTTCACTAAAATAATTTATAGTTTTTTTGTTCATATCTCTGCTTTGTATAATACTTTTTTGTACATAATTCATTATATATATTGATCAAAAAACATTAATCGGTGCGAAACAACGGGTCATGCTAGTTTAAATTGAAAGAAATTGTATCACTAAATTAAGGATAGGTTGGTGTGTCGACACACCTAACGTGGATCCAAAGTAAATTTATTTCGTAAACTAAGAAGATGAAGAGAACTAAAAATTTTTTTTTTTACGTACATTATGATAAGATTTCTAAAAAAAAATAATTAATTACAAAAAAGGTATGTATTTTATAATCACTAATTTTTTTTTTTGCTGTATAACCAGTTCTGCTTCAAATATGTTGATTTTAAAAAAAGGCTCAAGTTCTTTTTTAAAAAAAATTCTTTTATTAACAATTTATTATTTTTTTTAGTTTCGGCTATGTTTCAAAAACTTTATGCTAGAGATTTAAAATATGGGTATATCTGGAATGCGTAAGCCTCCTTGTGGCATCACACTTTCAAAAAAAATATAAATAAATTAAAACCTTTTACTGAAAAATAAATTAAAATCATATGTATTATCGTTTTTGCCGATCATTTCCAAGGGGACTTAGTGAAAAAAATATTTTTCAAAAAAAAAAAAAAAATATTCAAACCGCTTTTATCATTATAAGTAAACTTGCGGAGCAGCCAAATTTACTTATATTTAATGACCTTTAGAAATTGTATATTAAAATTTTCTCCATTAGAGATTCTTTGCTGTGCCACAACGAGGCTTGACAGTATCAAAAAAATTTGTTGTCATACTGTCATACATGCAGTGCTTGTGATCAACATATATTGCACAGTACAATCAGTACATGTACATAATGATGCAGTGAAACCTGAAAATTTGGCATCTGCATTTTGCATAAATATTAATAAGGCGTTTTAATAAAGAAAAAAAGATATTTACATTATCTCTTTTTAGGGAGAATTTTGATATAATTATATAATTATATAGTAATGAGTCAATATATTGATGAAGGTAAAAAAGATTATAGCATGAAAATATACACTATTCAAATTTTGAAACAAATTTACAAATAATAAAATCAGCTTTGTGTTACGACACGGAATCTGAAGGTAAATATAATATACTAAAAAGACTGAAATATTAAAATTTTTATTTAATCATAAAAAAATAATTTAAATATTATTAAAACAAACTTACAATATAATAAAACTAGTTTCCAGTAACACTGAAGAATTTGAAGAAAGCAGTATCAAGGAAATTGAAGCAAGTAGTATCAAGGAAATTGAAGAAAGTAGTACAGAGGAGTATATAGGTAAGTGCAAAACACCAAATGATTTGTAATATTAAAATTTTTTTTGATTATTAAGAAAATTATTTATAAATAATTTAATATACGTGATATTCACATATAATTTAAACTAACAACTATATCCTTATCTGTTACATAAAATTATCTTCAATAATTTAGCTCGTAAGTCAATAGGTTATCTTGTAATTGAATAATAATGAAATTACTTACTTTTATATAATTAAAATAATTCATTTAATGATTAATAATACTATAGTTAGTAAGTTATTTTTTACAATATTTTTATAATGTTCAGTAACTATTTAAATAATTACTTAATAATTAATTCTATTATAGAAGGTAAGTTACAGTTTTTAATCATACTTAGTTTTAATACTTACATATAATTTAAATTAATTATTTTCTTATTTAAATGATCAGATTGTAAGTAATGTATTATTTTCAGTATATACTTTCATTGTAATATTTATATCTAATAATTAATTAATAATACTACAGGGTGTAAGTTATATAATATTGTATTTCGTTATTTATATAAATTTAAATCAGTTAATTCTTCATTTAATGAATTATTTATTAATTTATTTTAGTTGGTAAGTTATAAATTATTTATTTAATTCTATTATTACATATTTATATAATGTTTGCATATAATTTAAACTAACCAAATTTTTTATTTAAAAATTATTCAATAATATAGGGGGTAAGTTAATTATTTAATTCTATTATCATATATTTATAAAATATTTACATACAATTTAAACTAACTAAATTCTCTATTTAAAAAATTATTGGTAGATTGTAAGTTATAGTTATTTAATCAATTCCATTATTACATATTTATATAATATTTACATATAATTTAAACTAACTAAATTCTTTAAATTCTTTTTTAAAAAAACTATATTTGGTAATTTATTTTAGTTGGTAAGTTATTAAGCTATTTATCAAATCTTATTATTACATATTTATATAGTATTTACATATAATTTAAACTAAATAAATTCTTTGTTTAAAAAACTATTTTGTAATTTAATTTAGATGGTAAGTTATAAGTTATTTATGTAGCTCTATTATTACATAGTATTTATAATATTTACACATAATTTTAACTAACTAAATTTTTTATTCAAAAAATTATTAAAATTATTTTAGGAGGTAAGTTATTTATTTAATTTACTATTACATATATATATATTTATATAATATTTGCATATAATTTAAACTAACTAAATATTCTATTTAAAAAAAATTATTAAAATTATTTTGTAATATATATAGGGGGTAAGTTATTTATTTAATTTATTATTATACATTTATTTATATAATATACATACTAATTAAATTTTTTATTTAAAAATTATTTAATAATATAGCTAGTAAGTTAATTATTTAATTCTATTATCATATATTTAAAAAATATTTTCATATGATTTAAACTAACTAAATTCTTTATTTAAAATAATATAGTATGTAAGTATATTTATTTAATTCTATTACATATTTATAGAATATATTATGGTTGTGGATGGATAAAAATATCAGTCATCCTGTAGGGCTGACTTATATGTTACCCTTCCTGTTCAATGACTGTATCATTATACATGCCACTCAAGATCATGCCTAATTTATTAATGTGTTATTTTTATACATAACCAATATTTTATTCCACTCTTTTTACTGGCAAAAATAACGGTCTGCCAAGATTGGCATGATCCTATCATATGCCACTGCATACAGTATCCGGGTCTTACAGGGTCTTACTCAAGAACCTTAGTTTTAAAATTGAATAGTACCCATAGGTACTGTATAATTTATGCCATGTATAATACTCGGGTATTAATCACAGGATTTAATTTTGGGCACTATATGCAGTGGCATATGTTAATATGCTGCATAATATTTATGCACAATTTAAACTAACCAATTCTTTATTTAAAATATTGCTTAATAATATAGGGTGTAAGTTATTATTTAATTCTTTATATATTATTTGCACATGATTTAAATTAACTAACTAAATTCTTTATTTAAATAGATTGTAAGTTATAAGCTATTTATTTAATTCTATTATACATATATATAATATTTACATATGATTTAAACTAACTAAATTCTTTATTTAAAAAAATTATTTGATAATATAGCATGTAAGTTATTTATTTCTATTATTACATGAGTGCTGTTAATCTTAACAGGGGGAAAATAACTTCTAGTACAATCCAGTTTTGAAGCTTGACTGGAAATTATGTAACTGGTTAATTTCCCCTTAGTTAAATGTAGTTCATTCTTTTTTCTCAATACACATTTATATAATATTTATGTATAATTATTTGGTGATTTATTTTAGATCGTAAGTTATTAGTTGTTTATTTTAAATCTATTTTACATATTTATATATATTTGCATATAATTTAAACTAACTGATTAAAAAATTACTTAATAATATAGCAAGTAAGTTATTTATTTAATTCTATTATTACATACTGTATATAATATTTATATATAATTTAAATAACTAAATTTTCATTTAAAAATTATTAAATAATATAGTTTGTAAGTTAATTATTTTATATATTATAAAATATTTATATATAATTTAAAACTAATTAAATATTTTATTTAAAAAAAATTATTTGATAGATGGTAAGTTATAAGTTATTTATTCATATATAATTTAGACTAACTAAATTCTTTATTTAAAATTCTTTTGTAATATCATATATTTATAATATATTTACATATAATTTAAAACTAATTAAATTTTTTATTTAAAAAAAATTATCTGATAGATGGTAAGTTATAAGTTATTTATTCAATTCTATTATATATAATTTAGACTAACTAAATTCTTTATTAAAATTCTTTTGTAAATTTTTTAGATAGTAAGTTATAAGTTATTCATTTAATTCTATTATTACATATTTACATATAATTTAAACTAACTAAATTCTTTATTTAAAATTATTTTGTAATTACTTTTAGATCGTAAGTTATTATTTATTTAATTCTATTATTACTTGTTATATAATATTTACATAAAATTTAATCTAACTAAATTCTTTATTAAAAAAATTATTTAATATAGAGAGTAAGTTATTTATTTAATTCTATTATTACTTCTTTATATGATATTTGCATATAATTTAAACTAACTAAATTCTTTATTTAAATAGTTTGTAAGTTATAGTTATTTATTTAATTCTACTATTACTTATTTATATAACATTTACATATAATTTAAATTTTAAACTAACTAAATTCTTTATTTAAAAAATTATTGTAATTTATTATAGTTGGTAAGTTATAAGTGATTTATTTATTACTATTATTACATATTTATATAATATTTTAACTAAATTCTTTATTTAATAAATTATTTGTAATTTCTTTTAGATGGTAAGTAATAAGTTATTTATTTAATCTATTATTACATATTTATATAATATTTACATATAATTTAAACTAACTAAATTCTTTAATTATGAAATTATCTAATATTATAGCTGGTAAGTTATTTATTTAATTCTATTATTACATATTTATATAATATTCTAACTAAATTCTTTATTTAAAAAATTATTTAATAACATAGAGTGTAAGTTATTTATTTAATTCTATTATTATATATTTATATAATATTCTAACTAAATTCTTTATTTAAAAAATTATTTTGTAATTTCTTTAGATGGTATGTTATAAGTGATTTATTTAATTTAATTATTGCATATTTATATAATATTTTAACTAAATTATTTGTAATTTCTTTTAGATGGTAAGTAGTAAGTTATTTATTTAATTCTATTATTACATATTTTATAATATTCTAACTAAATTCTTTATTTAAATAATTATTCATAATTTCTTTTAGATGGTAAGTAATAAGTTATTTATTTAATTCTATTATTACATATTTATATAATATTTTAACTAAATTCTTTATTTAAAAAATTATTTTGTAATTTCTTTAGATAGTAAGTTATAAGTTATTTATTTAATTCTATTATTACATATTTATATAACATTTACATATAATTTAAATTTTAAACTAACTAAATTCTTTAATTAAAAATTTATTTAATTATATAGTTTGTAAGTTATTTATTTATTTTCTATTATTACATATTTACATATAATTAAACTAACTAAATTCTTTATTTAAAAAATTATTTTGTAATTTCTTTAGATAGTAAGTTATAAGTTATTTATTTAATTCTATTATTATATATTTATATAATATTTATATATAATTTAAACTACTAAATTAATTATTTAAAAATTATTTAATAATATAGATAGTAAGTTATTTATTTATTTCTATTATTGCATATTTATATAATAATCTAACTAAATTCTTTATTTAAAAAATTATTTTGTAATTTCTTTAGATGGTAAGTTATAAGTTATTTATTTAATTCAATATTAAATATTTATTTAATATTTATATATAATTTAACCTAACTAAATTCTTTAATTAAAAAAATTATTCAATAATATAGCTTGTAAGTTATTTATTTAATTCTATTTATGTAATATTTGTATATAATTCTTATCATTTATACAAAAATTATTCGATTTAGTTATTGGTAAGTTATAATATAGCGAAGTTATTGTATTTATTTTTACAAAGGCTAAAATTCATATTTTATTAAATTCCTATTTAAATTTTAGAGTAAGTATTTATTGTTGTTTATTAAAGTTTTAAATTTAATATAAACCTTAATAATTTTTTCATTAACTATTTAAATTATAGATTTGGAAATAGTGGAAATGAAATTTTGGATGAATTTATTCTTAAAGAAAAATTAAAATGGATCCCTTATAATCAATTTAAAAATGTTGAATATCTTGATAAAGGAGGATTTAGTACTATATATAAAGCTATTTGGGTAAATAGTATAGAAAATGTAGAAAATGTAGAAAATGCTGAAGTAGTTCTTAAATGTGTCAATAATTTGAATGAAAATTTGGATGAATTTTTAAAAGAAGTATGATAATGCATTATTTATTTAATTTCAATTATAATTCATTTAAATAATATTAATTTTATTTTTATAGTGGAAATGTCTTGCAAATTTTACAACAGTGGCTGCATTTATTAATTTATATGGATTCACAAAAAATCCAAATACATTAAATTATATGGCAGTAATGGATTATGCAAATAAAGGTAATTTAAGAGGAAATTTGGCAGAAGTAATTAAATATAATTGGAAACAGAAATTGCATATGTTATATAAAATTATTTATGGGCTTAATGGAATACATCAAAAAAATCTTATTCATTGTGATTTTCATGATGGCAATATTTTAAATGGGAATATAAATGAAGATAATCAAGTTTATATTAGTGATTTGGGATTATGTAAACCTGTAAAATCTTTTTTAGAAAAAGATAGTATTTATGGTGTTATACCATTTATGGCACCTGAAGTTTTAAGAGGTAAACCTTACACTCCAGCTAGTGATATATATAGTTTTTCTATGATCATGTGGGAGTTTACATCTGGAGTTACGCCATTTAAAAATAGAGCACATGATCTTCAACTTAGTTTAAGTATTTGTAAAGGTGAACGACCAGAAATTATTGAAAATACTCCACAATGCTATGTGGATTTGATGAAAAAATGTTGGGATGAAGACCCATTAAAAAGACCATCTTCTGTAGAAGTTAAGGATATTTTTAATAAGTGGATTTATCTTCCAGATGGAAAGAAAATTGAAGATATTGATGAAGAGTTAAAATGCAATATTATGGTATTTATAAATGCACCAATTGGGCAGTATTACAATCCTGCTGCTGAATCTCATCCACAAGCATGTTACAACAGTCGCTTGCTTGGTTTTACTAGTAAAAAATTGAATGAAATTATTGAAAGTAAAGATTCACAAGAATATCATGCAAGTCATTCAGATTTGAATGATTATATAATTAGAGATTTGGGGTCATTAGGTATATACTATAAATATATAAAAATAATTATTTATGTGAAATTAATTAATTTATTTAATTATTTAGATATTAAAACAGATGAAAATAACAGTAAAAATTTGAATGAAATTCTTGAAAGTAAAGATTCACAAGCTAGTGTAAAAGCAAATGAAATTCTAGTAGTAAGTGAAGATTTGAATGATTGTATAATTAAAGATTTGGGGTCATTAGGTATGTACTATGATATATAAAAAAATTAATCTTGCAAGAAAGTAAAGATTCACAAGCTAGTGTAAAAGCAAATGAAATTCTAGTAGTAAGTGAAGATTTGAATGATTGTATAATTAAAGATTTGGGGTCATTAGGTATGTACTATGATATATAAAAAAATTAATCTTGCAAATTATTTATGTGAAATTAATTTTATTTATTTAATTATTTAGATATTGAAACAGATGAAAATTAATTACTACTTATTTGTTCTTAAAAAGATTTAAGTAATATTTGATATCACATATTCAACAGAAATTGTTTTTTACTTTATCCTATTAGAATTGTTTAAACACTAAGCTAGAGTAGTAAGATATTTTACAAGTTTCTTAGTTTGTAATTTAAATAATTCTTTATTTTTATATCTTATCAAGTTATTAAATATATGTATTCTCTCTCTTTTTTTTTTATTTAACTTAGAATTATTTAAACACTAAGACTAGAGTAGTAAATATTTTACAAATTTCTTAGTTTGTAATTTAAATAATTCTTTTTTTTGTAACTTATTCAATTCAGTTATTAAATATAAATTTTCAAATTTGATATATTTATAAATTACAGTATAAGTATGTAATTATTAAAATGCTTTATTATAGTGTCACTTCGCTAAATAATAAAAAAAATGAATTAAACAAAATAATCTCAAATCAACAAATTCAGATTTAAGGAAAAAAACGCTCTAATATGCCAAACTACATTCTAATAAGACTGGATTAGATTGTTATATTGTTAAGTTTTAGAAATAGATATATAATTTAATTTAGGTTTCAACATCACTAAATTGATCGGTCGTAAAATTTTCAATTGCATTATGTTGAACAAAGAGTTTAATTTTTACTCAATTCCTATTTTTTAGTTAATTTTTTAGTTATGATTATATAAACTTGTTTTATTTTTATTTTTATTTAAAAGAAATTTATATATAAAAATATATTAAAATAAATGATATTAAAAATACAATCGCAAATATCACGAAATTCTAAAAGCATATGATATTGCACAATTAATTTCATTTATAAATTAAGTATGAGAAAGTAAAATATAGATTAGCATTAATATCTAACAAAATAAACTACAATATTTGCTTGGTTTAAATTATTCTTATTATTTGTTCCTTATCAGAAATCACCTACCTTTAGAAATATTAGAAATGATAGATCAGCTTCATAATTATTTATTTTTTCACTTTTATTGAAGACATTACTTGAAGTACGAAATTGTTTCGAAAACCAAAATTAAAAAAAGAAATATCATTCATCAGAATCAAACCCACAAACCCACACCAATCCACACTACCTACCTTTAGAAACATCTAGCAAATGCCGATCATGTCACATAATTTTACATGACATTAAAAATTTTATATAGCAAAAATATTGTTTGCAAATATATTATCGCTGTTGGTTGAAACTCCGCCTAGTCGATCAATTATAATAAAATACAGAAAACTTGCAACTGTGCTAATGAACCATCATGTTTCACGTGACTATGTAAAATATTTTAATCGATATAAGCCACTACCTGTATTACTTTTACAATTTTTTTTCATTTCCGTCATGTTTTACTAGAGATTACTAGCGATTTTAACTTATTTAACTGGAATACTTGACTGAAATATTTATCAACAAAGTTCTTGCCAATATTTTAGATTGTAAAGTTTAACGTTATTTTAAAAGGCAAACTAAGTTTAATTATTTATATTAAGTATTGACTATATTACTATCAAGTAATAACTACTGATTCTTATTTCGCTTTATTATATAGATCTTATTAAATAAACAATATTTTTATATACAGCTAGAGATTATGTATAGATATTTATAACTATAGATAGATGCGTGAGTTAAGGAAATTTTTGAGTTGTTAGAAAGAGATTTGTTTCTTCCTTCAGAAATTAGAGAATTACTTGAATTGAGTTACAGAACAATAAGTCATTATGTTTTTTAAATTTTGTAATATCACAATTTCTTATAATTTTGATTTGAATAATTTTCGTTTAAATAGTTGGTGAAAATTTTATTTAATTCAATATTTTGCATACTTCATTCCGTTATCTGAAGCTTTTTTATACCAAATGATGGCTTTTTCAATATTTATTTCAGTTTCTTTATCATACTAATAATAATATATATGCTAAATTGTATTAATTACATCCATCAATAGATGATTGAGTGTACCATTTAAACGCCATATCGTAATCTTGTGATATCCCTTCACCATATGCATAGCAATATCTGCACTTCCTGATTCAGCATTTTTTAAATAACATTTAAATGATTTTTTATAATCTTGTGCTATTCAAAATCAATTATAATAACAATGACCCAAATTACACTGACCTTCAGCAGAACCATTTTTGGCTGATTTATAATACCACTCAAATGCTTTAAAGTAATCTTGTTCTATCTCTTCACCATATTCCCTATAAAAAAATTCTGGAAAAAACTCCGATAAATGATCATTTTTCTAGTTTTTTATTCCGAAGAAACACAGACACGTGATCATTTTTCTGAAAAATTTTTTATAGGGATTGATAACAGCATCCGAGCAATTGGATCACCTCTTCTAACATATTTTAAATAATTAATTGTAGCTTCGCTTTACTAAAATTTTATCGTATCTAAAATAATATCTTTATAATAAAAAAATGATAACAAATACTTTCCAATAATAATATCAAATATTTTATAATATATCACATTCATTATCAATATGTGTAGAATTTTGTTTTAAAAATTTTTCATTATTAATAACTAATAAATATAATTCTAATAATTTAACTTTATTATTAATATCACAATCAATACCATATTGATAAAAAAAAAAATTCCCAATTATACTAGAAAAATCAAAAATTCATTTTCTTTATGATTTTCATTAATTCTAAAAATTTTTTTAACCTTTTTTTTATAATTATTCTTTATCCACTCGATTAAAATTTTTTTTAAAATTTTATTAAAATTATTTATATCAATAATTTTTTTGATAAAAATTTCTTAAAAAATTCTTTTAAAAAATTTTTTTTTCATCATTGTTGAAAATATTTGATAATTTGAATAATTTTTTCATTTAAAAGATTTAAAAGATTTAACATTTTGATAAAATTTTAAACGTTTTACGAAATTGTGAAATTGTGTTTAAATAAAAGTAAGAATTACTAGCCAAATTAAGTCAACAACTGATTTTTTTGCACTCCCATGATATTGTAATATCACGTGATATTGTTAACGTTTGCCGAACCATTATTATTTTAATATTATATTATTGTACAAAAAATTTATATAATAAAAATTAGATAAGCACCTTATTAATAAAATAGATAAATACATATGTTAAAAAAATAAGAAAAAAAATTATAACGTTTTGAATTTAAATAATATCAATTAGATTAGTAAAACTCATATAACGACTACTGAACAATCCTTTCAAGGAATCAAACGTAAATATTTATTCAAGCTAAATTGGTAAATATAAAGTTTAAAGTGCAAAATATTTTTATATTTGCAGATCTTTTAAAAAAACCCAAAACCCCTGTAAGATAAAAGATACGTTGTACCGTTTCATATATAAAGCCGAATTGTTTTTATATTTTATACATTAAAATAATATATATGATATAGTGTAAATCGGAATTATAATTTGACCGTTTGAAGACAAAGTTTCAGTTTGTCCATTCAACATTAAATTGGTTCACAAAGATCCAGAGCAATACATAAAAAGGTAACAATACTTTATAGTCATACAAAATTAATGTGTAGATCCATCCTTTTTTGTATAATTCCAGGTGGTATTACGTAGTTCTGGCCCTGAAAAGATGCGTAGAGCTTACAGTAAATTAGTGCCGATCTCTCATTACCTACAGTATTTATATATCTCGGGTCCTGGTTCGCAACTTTTAAAAAAAATTTCAATTTCCTCGCCAACTTTCATACTTGCTAAAATGTCCAAGCAATTTTTTCCAAGTCTAAGTAAAAATTACATTGAAATTTTGAATGATGACGAATATTCTGATATTAATATTGAAGTTGGCAAAGATACAAATATGAAAATATTTCGTGCACATATGGTTATCCTGTGTTACCGTTCTCCATTTTTACGAACAGCTTTGGCTTCCAACAAAAAAAATGTCGATAATGGTCTCTTTAAATTGCCAAATATCTCACCAGAAATCTTTTGGATTATTTTAACGTAAGTTATATTTGTTATATTTTCAATAAAGTTTGATAATATTTTAACTTGACGTAAATTTATGTAATATAGATATATTTATGGTGGTATTATTCCATTAAACGAGCAAGAACCTTCAGAAATTTTGAAAATTTTGTCTGCTGCTGATGCACTTCATCTTAAAGAACTAGCTGATGATTTACAAGAATATTTAATTGAAGATAAATGTGAATGGATGGAACGACATTTTGAACTTACACATAGAACAAGTTTTCAATCTAATTCTTTATCGAGACTTCAGAAATTTTGTACAGATTTAATGGCTAAATCTCCTAAAAAAGTATTTAAATCATTTGATTTTACCTCACTTCCTGAAAAATCTTTAGTTCAACTCATAAGAAGAGATGATTTACAAATGAAAGAAGTTGAAATTTGGGAATATGTATTAAAATGGGGTCTTGAAAAGAATCATACACTTCTACCGGACCCTAAGACTTGGTCTGATAATGACTTCCAAAGGATGAAAAATACTTTACAACATTATTTACCTTCCATTAGATTTTTCAGTTTATCTTCTGATGAACTTGTACAAAAAATCGATCCATATAAAAAGCTTTTAGGTGATCAACTTTACGACGAATTAATTAATTCTCATATGAGTTCCAATAGTAAACCAAACGATAATATTTTGCTTCCAAGATATAGAAACATTGATGGAATCATTGATTCAACAATTGTAAATTTAAATATTGTTTCTTTAGTTTCAAGATGGATTGATAAAAAAGATACTATTAATAGTAATTTTTCATTTACAAGAGAGTTTTATTTGCCATATAAATTTAAATTACTATTAAGGGGAAGTCGAGATGGATTTACGCCTAAAAAGTTTCACAAATTATGTGATGATAAACTTTGTACTGTAACATTTATTAAAATAAAAGGAACAGAAGAAATTATTGGAGGATATAATCCATCAGTATGGAAATCAGCTGGTAACTATGGTAAAGCCAAAGATAGCTTTATATTTTCTTTTAAAAATAAGGATAACTTCAAAGATCCAATTTTAAGTTATGTAAAAGATTATGATCAAGCTTTATACTATAACTCTAATCATGGTCCCACATTTGATGATGATCTTGACATTTATGCGAAAAGTGGAAATAATAATATGAACAGTAGTAATAAAAAATATAATTTTATTCGATGTAAACAACAAAGTTATGAAAAAAAGATAAGAGATACAGAAGACAAATTTTCGATAAAAGATTATGAAGTATTTCAAATTTTAATCTGATAATGATGATTTAATAATATTATAAGGTATTGTGAACTTAGAAATGTACATCACTAGGTACTTTATTGGTTAATTATTGTCCGAAGGACTAAATCTCAGTATCACACTTTTTCCACATGATTTTTGTGACGCATCAGCCTCATTGACTTTTTTTGTCGCTTTTATCCCTTTTCTATTTTTTCTTATAAAATTTATTTATTGAATTACTAGCATATTTTTAACTACTATATTTTTATACAAATATTTATAGCATAGTTTTGTTACTTTGAACGAAGACTAAGTGAAATTGTTTAAAACTACAGAACTATAGAACTACTCTAGACATTTATTTTATTGAGTTATCTTACATATTTATGAGGTATAATTATATTTTGTAACAATATTAAGACGCGTTATGCATTTTTTATATTTAGGTGATACGCGTTTTTATATTTATTTAGATAATATGTATTGTATTTTAATTATGAAACTTTTTATTGAAACTTGTTAAAAATATGAGAATATAATTTTCTTAATATTCAAGCAAAATATCACTGTAAACGAAACTGATGCACCACAAAATCACATGGGTGGAAAAAGTACCAAAGAATCGTGACTTTGTACTACTAATCTAAAAATAGTAGATATCGATCGCAATGGAATAATATTTTTCCTTAGTATTTTAGTATTTTGGCGTGAATTCATATTATTCTTTTTTACTATAATTTATTATATTTTATATTTTATTTCTTTTTTTTATTCTATTTTATTACGAAAATAAAAATGCGTTCTTTATAAATTAAATATAAATTTATTGAAAAACTTTTTGCAACATTTGGAATATAAAAGTGAACTATCAAGTTTTAAAGAAGTCTTTTTTTTGACATTATAAAAATTTTTTTTATAATTATTAAATTATATACCCTATAAAAAATAAATGTCCAGAAAATGTCTACGAAAATGTCCGGAAATTGTCCAGAATAAATCTGGCATGTCCAGAAATTGTCCGTAAAATGTCTATTTTTTGCTACAAATTTGATACCTAAAATTTTGACATATCCGGACTTTGTCCAGAATATATCCAGAATTTGTCCAGTATAAAATTTTGGACAAATTCCGGACGGATAAACCTGGACAAATTCCGGACATAGTAAAAATTCAGATAATTTGAGCTGGACAAATTCCGGACATGAAAAAATTCTGGACAAATTCTGGACGCTACTTCCAAAAAAGGATAAATTAATTTTGTAGAAAAATGCAAAAAGCACAAGACTGACATTCATAACCTTCTTTGTCATACTAATTAAATTTGCTGAGCAGGCAAAAATACTATATATCTATGATATAAAACTTTAAGTTAAAAGCAATTATAATGATGGTCACCTGTTGATCATCTTTTTGTGCCAAATTTTATGAAAAAATATTTCAGGTCAATTTCCGGACAAATTCTGGACAAAATGAGTGTCCGGAAACGAGTGTGTTTTCGGAACAATTTCTGGACATGGTACCTGGCATTTTCTGGACATTTTCCGGACAATTATTTAGACAAATTTTCCGGACAATTTCTGGACAATTTCTGGACACTTATTTTTTATAGGGATAGTGAATAATATAAAGATTTGTAGTTAAATTTCTAAATAATGAAATAATTTATTCAGCTTATTTTAATAGAATAAATTCTATAGTGAGAAGGATCATAAAAATATTTAAATAAAATTCCTTTGTATTTTCTTTTTTATTAAAAATTATATTTTTTACTTTTTTTTTTCTTGACTAAAAAAACTGTGAAAATTTTTTTCCAAAGATAAATGTTCAGTTGTACAAAATAAATTTGATTGATAAAATTCACCAATTCACGTTACCGGAATTTTTTTGGCAGTTTTTTTACTTTTCTCTTGTTTTTTTTTATAAAATCATTCTCCTTCCAAAGTTATATTGAATCATTATAATTTTTTTTATCATGCAATCAATTAAGTTTTGACAAATGACTATTTAAGTATGAATGATTTTTATATTTGCAGTGATCGCTTATCCACTATATGCTCTTTCTCATAAAATAGAGCCGAATTGCTTTTATACTTTACTAGGAGTTGTAAAATTCGTAATGCAAATATTTATTCGTACAAAATATGCAAAACGTCATCGCGTGCGAACAGGACAAACTTCGCATGTGATCTTATTAGTGATAACTATGTTATTACACTCTAAACTAATAAACTTGTAAACATACTGTATAAAAATAAAAAATAAAAATAAAATAAACTT